AATATTTGACCCCACGAAAATATGTGATTTTACAGTATTTCATGACCAGAGTATACCATCTCCATCCATCCTCAAGGCAGTAGAATCCATCCTCCCCTGGTAACTCTAGATTAAATTGTGGGATCTCTTCCCTTTTTAGGGTAAGGTTATCCACAGCTTCCTTCATAAAGTTACTCTAGTCAAAGCCTAGGACCTCTCCCCCATCCAATGCTTAATTGAGTCATGGGGAGTAACTCTAGAGTGAGCAGAGGATTTAATCTCCAATCCCTCCTAAGTGAAAACCACAATGCCCGTGGTTCATCTTTCATTAATAATATTATGAAATTGTAAATGATACCATGTTTCCAATAACATCTACAGTGTATGTACCGGTAATAACTGTTAATTGAATTTATACATGTTGTAAATTTCAGATTCTCTGGACCCTGGTGGAGGTAACAATCCGTGGGGCTGAAGCTTTTAGTCATCAGTGTATTATTTTATGTGTTCATTCCTGACATTTGGTTGGTGCTGTGTTATGCCATGGATTATCTTCCCTGATCACCAGGTAGAAGTGGGGAAGTGATATAGTGCTAGTGACGACAGGGTCTCAACAATAATGACAAACGGGGGAGTGGTGTACCAACCACTCTTACCTCTCCATGAAAACTTGTGATTCTGTCACACAGTCCAGTGTGTTGTGTATACAATATGTAAAGTGAAGACATGCTTAAGAAGATTTAATGTACTCTCTGAGCATGTATTGTCATTCTTTTTTCAAAATAACTGGCAATATTGTAGTGTAAGAAAGATCTCAGTCTATACATACATGTACACATTTTAAGTTTGTCAAATTATGAAAATCCATTTGAAAGGTTGTAAACATCATATTGCTTTGTCAAGTTCACATGTACATGTAATAAGTATTTCACATTGCACTGTTGTTTGTGATATTTAAGATGGCAAGATGCATGTAGATGTACTTTTTTTTCAAGTCACAAAATCCACCAAAAAAGGATTTTCTTTAAAAAATAAATGCTTTTTGAGTGAAATGTTTTCCGTCCTATGAACTATCATTGTTATGTACATGTAATATTTATTATTATGCCATGTGATTAACAGTTGAAATAATGGCAGCAGACTCTTGTCTTATGGGTAGAACCCAATTATGTTATTCCTTTTCCAGTTTTGTTTTACAGTTTGAATTAACACTTTAGAAATCTAACCATTAGATCTGCCATTTAGTGAAGTTCAGAAGAATAATAAGATCGTATTTAATTGAATTATAAAAAGTTTTTGACCATAACAACTGCCTTTATTAACAATTATTCATGTGTTCACAGCTAGGTCATGTAATAAAATTTTTTTTGGGGGGGGGGGGGGGGGGGGGGGGTGTTGTAAATCAAGAGCTTTCACTTATCTGGTTGTGATTCACGTATACAATGTATTTCAATTTTACAGTGAATCTTGGTTCTATTGAAGTCTTTGGGACTGCTTTATTTGTGTCAGTATATATAGTTTTAACATCGCAGTTGCTGTAGTCATATTCTTAAACTGATGCCATCCATATACAATAGGTGTGATAAGTTATAACCAAGATTTGTGACTTGTTATTATATGAGCTTAGCTTAGTGTACATTATTTTACAGACTTTACATTTTGTTATGTTTCACTGGCTTATTTTATGGAATTTACATGAAAAATTGATGAAGGACATATGATGCTATATTTATTAAATATTATGGAAGAATCTTAAGAGTTTTGTTGGAATTTTGTGATGTGAATTGCATGGGGATTGATGTTGAATGCTGTCTTGATTATTTTATAGATATGCTGGTTTGAGAGGGGATACTCTGCTTTGTGATACCCTTGTTTGCCTTATTGTCAAAAACTTTCATTGGATTGGGGGAGGGGGGTCATGACACAACTTTTGTCCATTAGTATCGTTCTATGTAGAAACTTTACAATCTGAGATTTACACAGATTTATACACTTCTATATCCTTGATCCTCTTCAAAATAGAGATGATTTCCTACAAGGACACAAACCAGGCATCTTATTTTCTCATGTGCACCTTTAACCTGGGGTTTGGATGCCCCTTAAAACAAGCCAGAAATTTGAACATTGCAAAGACATACAGGTGGATATTATAAATGGACAGACAGATGGATGACATTGACTCTGTATGAAAATCCCTTTAATTCAGTCTTTTTCTCTAAACAAGGAATTGTTTCTCAGTACAGAAACATAACTTTAAAGTGGGATGTCAGACATCTTGAGAGACAGGATAATTTCTTTATGCCCAAGACTGTCTCTATAGAGGTGTAGAGTAACAAGAGAACATATGTACATTTAGTAGTGAAATATGTATCTCAATTTTATTTTAATGCACTTTGTAAGAAATATTTACAATCAGAATCTTAAAATTGCAATGCTACATGACTGTTCATTCTATTGTAAAGGAGTAACCAATATTTACAACAATGTAAACATAAAACAAGTAGGAATAAAAGTTTGCTAGTTTTCCTTTTTGTATTGAAAAAAATCTTAGCAGCAGAGCATATCACATTTGAAGAGTTTTCTTGTTTAAAGCACATTTTTTGAGTTATTTTAACTTTTGATATAAGACACATAAATTTCTTCATTCAAAACACAGTATTTCATAAGTTAATATACATGTATGAAGAATCATGAAAAGACATATTCATGTTAACAGCTTTCGCCTTTGTACACAGATGCCTCCCCACATTTTCACACTGCAAGTCTTTGATCAGGAGTTATCTCCCTTTTATGTGCTCTCCATTAGGAGTATGTGAGTACTTTAGTAGCCTTCAGGATCTGCTCCACACAGTCCACATACTGATAACTGGAGTTGTTGATTCTCTCCTTGGCTTCCTCAGAGCACTGGGTCAACACGGTGTGGTACAGGTTCGAGCGGAACTGAAAACAACATTGCATGTGGATAGATATTGGAAAATACCAACAACATTGCATATGACTATAGATACTGGAAAATATTTCCCATATTATATCAATAACTGCCTTCCTTCAATGAATTCCTCCATGTTTGAAAAATATTTTTGTTTACATGTGTATACGTAAAAATTAAATTTAAATGTCAGTATTTATTTACAAGAAATCTTAAAAGATTTTGTAAGTTGATATTGAGTGTTGCATTATAACAATAAAGAAATTTCCCCTGGGAAAAGTTATTTATGTGGTAATAACAAGTCCAAATTTAAAAGTATTGACTTCATTTGGAAAAGTCACAAGTTCACACCATCTACATGTCTGGGAGACTTACTGTTGTTCCCTCAGCATACTCCTCTGAGAACTCTTCATCAAACTCTGTACATTGTAGCTTCATGCATCTCTTCTTTGTGGCCATGTAAACACCCCAGTCCTCCTGTAAAACACAGTTTGAGAAAATCTGTCATTTAATTGTTTATCAAAATCTGACCTGAGTTTATTCATTATATCAGACTTACAGTCTTAAGTAAAACATTATAAATGGAAGAGAGCTTGAATACCGTACAAGCAGAATTTTTAGTGAGGATTTAATTTTGGCATTATTAGCGAGAGTGCTGAGATCGCTAAAATTGAATATTGCTAAAAATTAATTGCATTTTATTTGTTATAGCTTCTTTAGTGAGCATTTTAAAATCACTAAATTTTCACCTTCCTAAAAATAAAATACCAATTTTCATGGAGAAATCGCTTAACTTGTGTCTCACTAAAATTTCCACTTATACAGTATAATAATAAATCAGGACAGGTGTTTGTCACTTGCTCCAATATAAGGTATAGTTTTATATATTTTGCCCCCTTCTGTGGCCCCTACCTCCAGCAGCGGTTCATCCTCCAGAGCCTCAGATCCCTGGAACAAAACTTTATCACTTGTCTCCATCTCACTGTTCCACTTGGACCAGGAGAAGGCCATCGCAGAAGACAGCAGTGCCATCTGTTCGTACAGCCAGTTTGTAACGATAGGGTTCTAAAATAAACGAGAGGTAAATATATTCAAATAGGGATTGCTTTATTCTATTAATACAATATTGAATTAAAGAAATGAAAGAATTCAAACAAAAGATATGTTGTTAAATTTCTGTCTCAATGTGAGAGTAAGAGAAGAAAATGAATTCAATTTGAAGAAAGTTGTTTATAAGATGTAGTATCACAAATGGAATATCTTCACAGTATCTATTAGATATTACAGTACTGAGAATAAAAAATGTAGATTTATCTGACCTTGTTTTGAATGCTGACATATTTGGAGGAGTCATCAGCTGGGAACAGGTTTATACCCGCCTCCTTCATGATCTGCATAAAAAGTAGAAATGTTAAGCAACTACACTGTACTGCTATATTGCATACATTGTATTTAACTTAATCAAAAGGATGATGTACATAGAAAATTTTAAACTCCAAACAAAACATACATTCAAGTAATATACATGTACATGCAGCTATGGTGAAGAGGATTTTCAAGTACTAATATAAAATATTTAAGTTGTTATATACCGCGATAAGTTCTTTAGGTGTGACCCACTTATTTCTGATTCCATCTAATTCTGGTCTGTCATCGGGTTTACTTAGACAGCACATGGCATCCTACAAAACAAAAATATATATTACAATATTGTACTTTACAGTTGTCAACTAGAAAGATTATAATTACAAAAAGATTATGATAAAACTTGAATATTTGCTAAAAATATTTATTCAATAATTTGTTGATTTTAGCACAAACTAAGCTAGAGCAAGCAATGATTAATTCCTTACTGCAATATCTTCCTCTGTCCATCTATTTACAATAATTTGCTTTATTGTAGAGAAGTTAAAATGAAAACCATGAATGCCATTGGAAGACGAATGAAATCACATTATTGAAGTATTTTTATAAAACCTTTATTTCGATTTCCACTTCTACGATGGCGGCTATGATGGTAAGGACACAGGCGTTGGTTTTATGTGGGCGGAGCTCCCAGGACTGGAACGGCATGTTAAGGTGTGAGTCCTGAAGGAGCGCAAAAAGTCCAAAGTACGCCGTCTTAAAGGAGAAAATCCTGTTATCTGTAAACATAAAATAGGTTTATATTAGAACTGCTTACCATAATGCTTTAATTTAAGTTTATAGATCTGTATAAAGGTTTAATAACTAAAGCTGTATATTAATATCAGCAGTCTGAAAACTGGTCGTATATGTATA